CTCAGAGCACAAAATGTTGCAAAAATTCCTTTTATCTAGATTTATCTCAAAAGTATGATTCATATATAACTTTATACATCTTCTTAAATTCTGTTAGTATTTTTAGGCTATTAGTGATTGGAATTTAAGTCAGCAAAGGGGTGTGTGATGATGATCTAAATGGTCCGTATAAGTGCAGCAAAAACTAAAGTGGGCTGTGGAGGTATTAGACCGTTTTCCTTGTCAGCTCTTCCTTGTTAAGAAGCGCAGTGGATGTACACAAAGGGTCACAGGGCCTATTCCATTACTTGTTTTTCACATCCTCCAGTTGTCAAACTACTTTGTACTGTGTCTGCCTTGTCAGGACAAAGTATTACAACATTCCATGTTTCATGTGTCATGTCGTTGTTTAGCTCTGTGTTGTTGAAATAGCTGACCTTGTGTCATTGTTCTTTATGTTCAGTTGTCTTATTTGACATGGGCTGCCAGTAATTGTAAAGAGGATATAACCAATGATAGTATGTCTAAAAGATTCTTTTAGTTAAAGCAGATTTCAGTTTAGTTTAGTTTGCCTATTGTGCAATAATTTACACCCTACTGGAAATGATAAATATATTATGATTGCTTGGGTGCCATTTGAGGCTCTTTTTATACGAGTTCCAATATCCTCCCTTGGATTCTGGATATTCTGTGTCAGAATATCAAATCTTGGTACCTGTTTTCATTTACATAATTTTTTACATGACTAAACTTCATGCTAGTCCTAATTATCTCTGCGGCACACGAATTTGAAATTGTCTGGCAATGTTTTATTCTTTTTTCATCTACCATTCTTCATTTTTCCTCCAACACAATCTACAGATTTTGCATTCACTCACTGTATCTATTGATGATCTGAAATGCATTAATCTTAAAACATCCTAAAAACATTAATTTATTGTTAATACAATTGATTTCTTTGTCAAATGTTCTCAAAACGTACTGTGGTTCATTAATTATATAACCTCTTTTTCTTTTTCAGCTCTTCTTTATTAACACTTTTATTCTTTGCTTACTTGTGATTAATATTCGTTGGTGTGTGTTTACCTTTTTCATAGACATTTAGGACTGGAATCTGAATGGAGGTTTGTACTGGCTGAGGCTTGCACAGATTATGCATGTACATGATAAAGCTTCTTAGACAATCTTAGACAAATAACTGAAGTTCTTGATGATCTCTTTGCCATGGGTGTAACAGTGGAGGTGAATATTTAGTAAACTGTTTTTTTAGTCCGTCATTTTGATTTGAACTCGGGTCATCACTCCATAAAGAGTTACAGAGGTTGATATACTATAGATAAATAGGCTGTTCACATTGCAAGGGAATTTTTCCTTAGTTTAGTATAAACATTCAGATTGCAAAGAATACCCAATCATGTGCAAGGAGAATGAAAAAAAAAACTGTATTTATGCTTGCACACGAATGGATGATTGAAGTCAGCGGAACTCCCCTCATTCATTAAGCTTGGAGTAAATTCCTTGACAGACTGCAAAATCCCTTGCAATGGTACAGCCTATATGCCATTAGTAAATCAACCTCATATAGTTTTAGTGCCATTCTGTGCCACAGTAAGTGCTGCCTAAAAAAACAATGGGCTCATTCAGACCTCACTGTCCCAAATTACAGAATTTAACATCCCACCTTTGCACAGGAGCACCTGCCAATCCATGGGCCAGATAGTTTGATAATCTGTTGGGTTTCAGTTCTTGCCTTTACGCATAAAGTGAATATCCTGGAAAGGTCCAAAACTCTTTTTTTATGTTAATGGTAACCAGCCTGTGCAAGCCTCAGCAAGCTCTTCATGCTAGCTATTTCAAATTCAACCAAATTATGTTTCTGTTTTTATAATTAAAGGAATTCATAACTTGTCAAATATAACAGCTATGGGCTTAGTCTGTGTGTGTAAAACACTTTAAGAGCTGAATGTGTTTGAGATAAAGTTTCTGATTCTGAAGGATTTTTTTGTCCCACTACATGGCTGACTTTCTGTAATAAAGCACCTTCTTTAGTTCTAATGAGTGTCAGGAACATACCCTAGTATTCTTAGTCAGATGGGTACCATCACCTTAATCCAACCATCATGGACTGTGGCAAGGCAAATGTTGATTGTCCAAGAACATGATGGGGAGGAAACATTTGTGTTATAAGTACATAATCCATTCCCACAGATAATGAATGGTAAGCTTCAGGTGTAATATACCAAAACTGACCTTATGAAAGTGGGTATTTGCATAGGCCTGAGCACACACCTCCTTCTCTGCCCCCTTAATGACAGTGCTCAGGTTTAACAGGGGAGTGTGCACAATATACCAAAGGTTTTCAGGGGGCTGCATGGGTAGATGGGAAGGAAGATAGTACTATCAGGGTAGTTGCAGGCACATTATGGTGTCTGACTGTACACTGCAGGTTTTAATTTGATTAGTATTGCCTAATTACAGGTTTCCTTTAATACAAACTGTCCTCGAGTATGGGACTATTGCATATTTTTAATGTATTTAGAAACATTTTATTTGAGGTAACTTGAGTTTTTACTGGTGCGTGACCGAAATCTAACATTTGTAATGGTTCATTTTTTTAACAATGTAGTAAAGTGGATTTTAGCCTTATTCCACCATAGTAATTTAAGACAGCATTGCAGTAATGCTGTAAAGCATATTATCAGTGATAAAAAGGCCTACATTTCGATTGCTGGAAGCAATAGCCTTGTGCCCAGGAAATCCCTTATCAGTTTTTTCATTAACAAAGCAAAGGAGAGCAACCTTTTACACATCAGGGTCTTCTTACTTACTAAATTTGAATCAACCTATTTTACTGTGCAAAGGATGACAAGTTTTCATATGAATAAGAGAGCAACCTTTGATGGAAACTGAACAGTTTGCTCCTTTTTATTACAGAGCAAATGTCTATTCAAAAGCTTTAGGCAATGTAAAATGACTCTAACATATCTATGGCCACCTATACTGTAGGGCTATCCCTAGAAATCAGTTTAAACAATACAAACTATCCACTCATGGGACTTTTAAAGCACATTTACCAGACAGAATGATATAAAACATTATTTTATTTGAACATGTTTTTACATAAAAGAATATTGGCTGATAATGTTTTTTTAGTGTTAAAAAAATGTTATTAGGCTTTAAACATGTCAGCTTATGCATACACACTGTAAAGTAAAAAGGTGCCAAAAATCTGTGAGCGGAAAGTAGCTTGTAAAGAGTAGACCACTAGAATACAGACATCACTACTAGATCAGCCAAACAAAGTGCAACGTAAATAAAGTGCAACAATTGCATAGAAGATCTACTAGTAGAGAACACCCACAAACAGAGATCAGTAAAAGAAAAGTGTGGCTCAGTGGTAGCCATAGCTCCAGGACTAACTTTGAGCCAATCCATGCTGGGAGAATGTCCAGAGTGCAATGAAGGGGTCATCGAAGAAGAAGACAAAAGAGGAGGAGAGGAGGAGGGAGATGGTTCCAGGGGTCCTCCGGCAGCAATCTAGGGGTGTTATTGAAGGATATATGCAGTAGTGGGGTCACGGTTCCAAGAGTCACCAACGTTAGGGGGCAAGTATTTCTTGATCCAGGGCTGCCATACTTTAGAGTATCGTCTCAGCGTATTTTGCAGGGTTGCCTCTATTTGAGCATGTAATTTTTGGGTAATTTTTAGTAGCGCTAACACAAAGCAGTGATGTCTTCCAGGACCTGGCGATGGTCTATTTTGCAACGATCATGATATAAAAGAGGAGGGCTGATATAGTTTCTCATGCAATCACCAAGTCCATTCTCATCTCTATATTCACACATCTTAAAGTTAAATCTATTGCATTGCATTCATCTGTGGAAACAGAAGCCTAGTGCATTGCTAAAAACTCTTCCTCATGGAATTGAATGAGATCATGCCTATATATATATATATATATATATATACACACACACACTCTCTCACACACACACACCATCATCATCATAATTCAGGCCCCTGAGGAAGTGTTTTATAAAACGCATTGCACTTCTGTTTCCACAGATGCAAGCAATGCAACAGATTTAACTTAAAAATTTGGCAATATATTGTAGAGATGAGAGATGAACTTGATGATTCTATAAAAAAAAAACTACATCAGCCAATATTCTTTTTTTGGAAAAACATTTTATGACGTACAGTATTTTTAAATAAAATTATTTCTTAATATTATTCTGTCTGGTAAATATTCCTTCCCATTCAGCCATATTTTAGAATTTGGAGGGATATTGGCACATATCACAAGTTATTCATCACCTCTAGGTTAACTAAAATTACTAGAAAGAAGTTTGTGCAGCATTATAGCTGTACTTTCAAGTCTTGTACTGGCCAGGAATGCTCAAAAGTGCAAGATCTTAAATCTCTTCTTTATAATCATCTTCATATTTAGTTTTTTTGCCTTTAACCCTTTATTTGTACGTCTTGGACCACATCTTTTGATGATTGAGATTTAGAATGTCAGTCTTTACACGTTAAAGTGTATTTCCAATATGTTATTGCTTAAGATTATGGAAAAACATGTTAGCCCTTCTCCTCCAAATATTTACCTGTGAGAAAGTGTCCTCGATAGTAAAATTACGTGGCTGTAGGTCAAAGGACCATTACAACTCAAGTTGCCTCACATAAAAACAATATTTAGAATAATAATGTATACACAAGAAACCATACTCTGAAAGCATTGATATACAGTAGAAAAGTTTATGTTCTTTGCAGGAAATGGTGAGGAGTGGAATCTTAAATGGGATTATAATATCTGCCCCCACAATCTTACCTTTATCTCAAATACTTTCATATCTTATTAGCTTCTCAAGCTCTTATAAATGTTATTCATAGCTCTACTTTATAAGCGGGTTTGTATTTTGGTTTGATTGGCCCTTTCACTGACCTCTCTGAACTTGAAAGAAAGTTGCTGTCTGGGTCAGAAAAACAGCAGCATTGACATCTGTCTTTCATCACACAGGCCCAGCGAGGAGGGGGTTTACTTAGTAGTTTCACGACAGACCAGACATCAGACCCCTGATATCTTGCAGGAGGCTGGTTGGCATAACAACAGCAGCCCGCCGCAATGTCCCAATGAGAGAAACCATTTTAACAAGGTATTTCACTTTTAGCAAAAAAACATTATTGTATGTTTGCATGATTCCCCTCTTTGATAGTTAAAGCGTACCTAAACCCAACAACAAACATTTTATGTATTACAGCTTATGAGTCACTAGATGTAGTTTCTGCATTAGTTTTCTGTTCTCAGGCTTTCCTTTCCTTCATTTTTATCTGGTAACCCTGCTAATAACATATTTCATATCCTAGGATTGCTACACTGACTCAGTCCACTGTATCTATGGAGGAGCCATGGTTCTCACTAGGTGACTTTCCTAATTTGAGCTACTAACCCTAACTCCACTCTTCATCATTATTATTATTATTATTATACAGTATTTATAAAGCGCCAATAGTTCGCTCAGCGCTGTACATTACAAAGGGGGACAGAACATGTGACAGAACAATACCAATACAATGCAAAACATGAGGGGATTGAGGGCCCTGCTCTTTCGAGCTTACAATCTAGGAGGTTTAATCATGTGTTTAATACATCAGTTCATACACAGGATTTTACAAGGACATTTTAATTCTGGCAAGATAATACAGCTATTTTTCTGTACTTGCAGAAAATGTACTTAGCTTCCTAACAAAAAAAAATAAGGCAGCCACCACTTCTAAAAACTGGTAAGCTGCAATATATTCAGGGGCAGACTGACCATTTGGAAACTCGGGCACTGCCCGAGGGCCAGGGTCATTAGTGGGCCCCATGAGATGCCCCTGGTACCTTTTTCATAGACTTTTTTGAGTTTGGGCAAGGACACGGGGGCCCATTGATCCCCTATTGCCTGAGGGCCCCATGAGTTGTCAGTCCGCCCCTGAATATGTTACTTTCTTGTTTTGGGGTTTAGCTACCCTTTCATTTTGAACACTGTTATAAGAAACCTACGTACATCTGGGAGAAGTGGCATGAGAGAAATAAGTTACAAAGTGCTGGTGCCGTACAGCACCGATGTGAAGACCTGTATGTGAAGTGCTTTTCATCATCCCAATGGCAAATTTCTTCATTGTGTAGACAACCAAAACAATTTGACCACCAAGGGGAGCAAAAATCACACAGCAAAAAAGGGTGACTATGATATCTATGGATAAGGAACAGGAACCATGGCTGTGACTCACTGGAGAGATTTCCCATCACTTCCTGTCCTGGAGACGTCAAAGGAAAGTAGAGGAAATCAATGGATTTTCCCATAACTTATGGTCTGTTGACAACTCAAAAGTTTTGGCTTTCTTCTCACTTTCTGTCCTGTGACATTGACAAACAATGGGGCGAATCACCCCAGCAGGGATATAGATCACAATGAAAACTTGAAAAAGGATCTAACCCTTTCCTACTCTAGCCAAAACTATTAAAATGTTTTTTAAATACACTTTAAATTTCATGGTTTCCATCTCCCATGGTCATATGTAGGTAGTGGTGAAGCTGGCTTCTATATATGTTGGCAGACACAATGTCTATACATGATTTAAATATATAAAAGTACCCAGCAGGCAGCTATTACTCACTGCTTATCTAGGTTTGTGGTGCTTCTCAGTAGATACTTTCTGATGCTGGTGGGGTGGTGCATACCGCAGTGTTATAGGGCTTAGGAGCTGTTCCTGAAAGGCAAATATCATTTTGCATACATGCAGCCCTCAGAACCATCCATTGACAGTGAAATGGTAGGGTTTATCTAAGAGAGAGTTACATTATTTCTGTTTTAGGGGAAGGCAATAGTTTAATGATTTACAACCTTCAGCTCATTACCTTTCACTAATGAACCACTTGGCGACATCTGAATCCAGCATTACATTTGCTACCTTACAATCATACTGGGAGAAGCTGTCTTAGATAATAATACAGTTATATAAATAGGTACACCAGCACCTCCCCTACCAACCTGTATATCTATTTACATTTGATTTTGGATTATGGCTTAAATGGGACTCTTATATGGGACTCTGGGTATTTATCAGAAATGAAGCAGACAGGACATGCAGCAGCTGTGCATGGCAACCAATCAGCTTCTATCTTTCATTTTCAAGGCTCACCTTAACAAGTTGAAGATAGACCCCGATTGGTAGTCATGCATAGCTGCTCCTGTTTTGATAAATTCCCCCCAGGGTGCTCCTGGATCTCTTGTGTAAGCTAATGGCCCTCTGATTTCTCTTGTATTGAATTGCATTTTAACTGTAATGTCTGCCATTTTGTAAAGTGCTGCCCAAACTGTTGGCACTATATAAATCTAGCACATCAATATTAATAATAATAATGAGCTGAGGGATGCAGATTACTAAGAAGCCCCCTCTGCCAAAGACTCTATTTCCTGGAGAACATTTTTAACAATTTTGGATGTATGTCTCCTAATGTTGTTTTTTTATGAAGAAGCTTATATCTTTATATAACTGACTTTTTGGGTGACTACCCTAATTTCTAAAGCATTAAGGATTATTAGTTTAGTATCTGGTAATCTTCTCTTTCTATGTCATGACAAGTACTTCTTAGCACGCCAAAGAATCCATGCATTTCCTGTGTAACTAGTCAAATTCCATGAGTGTTTGAGAAAAGCTCCTGCGTTCATCTTGTATTAGATGTTCATTAGGATAAAACAAAGTCTCATTCACTGGGAAGAGTATAATTTGCATATGATAAAATGGACCCGTTCTAGGTCTGCTTCTTCTGTCCTGGGTTCTGCAGATGTGAACCCAGGCTGAGCACAATGATAGTCCTGTCTCTTATATCAAAATGTAACGTGTTATGATAACAGCTGTAAGAGGCTTAACTTCTTTGCTGTGTCTGGATTAAAGCCTAGATCAAGAACCTTGTGACCACATCCCAGCATCTGGTTCATAGCACTCCAACTCCTCCAGCTATCATTCATCCCTATATTGAAGATGATTGGTCATTGAAGAAAACAAATGTTAGTGCAAGCCAGTGATTTGCATGCTGAGAAGTGGAGTGCACAGCTGGGTCACCAATCTGTCTGAGACAGGAGGAAGAAATGTCTCTCCCTAATGACGTGTTTAAGCAGCCATTCTTTAAACAAAGACACATCTGGGCAAACTGTTGATAGAAGGGAAATGTTACAGTTGAATCAAAGTGACTTTAATAAAGCAGCCGTGTAATCATTGTGGTCAAGCGTTTGTAAACAGGACAGATCCAAAAGTTCTTCAGGATAAGTCATTTTTTTTTTTACCGTAAAATAGGTTTTAGTTAATGCAGAGACAGTAGCATTCCAGCATAGGTGAAATATGTTTATTGAAAGAGCCAGAGCCATTCCTTCAAGAGACAATATGAGAATCCTAGAATGTGCACACAAAACACCATTCTTCCCTCTTGCATTCATCGATCATCTGCCTTTCCAGAGAATGGGGAGACACTATTGAAGATTTCCCGATAGCAAGTACGGCTACAACAAAAAAGGACAAGGCATGGAGGAAAGGGATGGGGTTGTAGCATGGAAAGGTCTTAGCACCAGTGGGGGTATGTTATAAAATATATATAACCCCCCCACCGTGCTTTTTTCCTCTTTCTACTGCCCTAGACCCTTTCTTACCTACACCTATACCTGTTGCCCCCTCTCTCACCTCTCATTAAGACCTACAACCAAATTAGGGTTCCCCCTGTTCAACAGGTATTAAAAAATAAAAACACTCTCTTTTTGGGTCTTACAACTCTGTATACTTTATCCTACAAATTGACACCCACCCCACGGGCAACAGAACTCAAGGGGCACAGATATCAAGTAATGCAACTTTGTTGTCCTCTCAAATATGTGCATATCATTGTAGGATACCAGTGTTACATACTACTATTCACCTTTAAAAATAATAAATGCTCATATTTTTGTGCACTTATTTTTTTTTTTTCCAGCAGCCTACAAAGCATTGCAACCATGATCAGTGGATCATAGCTGCAACATCAGACTTCTGCAAACTCTTCCTCCAGCTCCTCCCCTTACCTCTGTACAGGCTTGTCAGTTAGTGAGCTGGAGGAGTGTCAATGGACTATGAGTTCGGTGATCACCCCACCTGTATTCCACTGAGAGCTAAAAGTCTGTCTGTCTCGATGGCAGACAGGACTTGTAGATCACTCATTCACAGATTGTGATGAAATGTGAATGAATGCCATGACTGTGCGAGCAGAGCCACACACAGCCACACCAATTTCAAATTTGACAGCTGCTGCATGGGAGAAGATCCCCCGCATGCTGTCATGGATGGGGGGGGGGGTGCGTAGGAGATGTTACACCCTAAATATGAGTGTAATATGTTTCTAAAGGTGGAGTTAGCCTTTATATAAAGAATTATAAAAAAAATTAAACAAAAAAAAGAGATATACTCTTATCACAAATCCACATATTGACTACCTATACCACACCAAGGCTGAAATTTGGGCAAGTGATCTGTGGTAGTACAATGTGATGACTGCATTGCCTTCCAATTATTGATAAATCTGCATATTGCTACATTCTTCAAATTCTCAGAAGGCAGTACAATAATAAAATTGCATGTCCAATGCCTTCCAACTATTGATAAATCTGCATATTGCTGCATCCTTCAAATCCTCAGAAGGCAGTACAATAATAAAATTGGAAGTCCAATGTCATTTCGTAGCCTGGAGTCAAGATAATATGCATATAACAAATAATCTTATAGGCTGGGGTGTGGGACGAGTCAATCCCCTGCCTCATTCATCTGTGTGTGTAATATGAGCTTTAGCTACTCAGCTCTGTAAACAGGCTTTTTTCTCTAAAGTAGTTATGGTCAGTCTAGTAGATGTGAAATTGGCCCTACGTGTCTAGGAACTGGAATAGTACATTTATTATTTCCTTTTAATCTTACTTCTACAATTTTCTAAAGCCCATCATTCAACGTGCCTCTCAATCACAAATCTATGTGCTGCATTATTTTATAATATTAGACCTGTCCTACATTGACACTGTACTGTGCTACCTCAGTATACATGAATTACAGATTGCACTGTGGCATTTATCTTGCAGAGATCTGCCTGCCCTAC